GAACATCTGTGAATGAATGGGACTGGATGAGATTAAGAAAACAGGACAAGCATTATTTGACCTTCCAGGAGCTGCTGGGCTTGTAGGGACAACGGGAGTAGCAGAGGCTACAGTAAGGCAGAGAGTCCTAGATCTAAGCCAGATTTCTGCTACATAAGGATGAGGGAAGCCCTGTGCAAGGAGAGCTTCAGAATTTCAAAGAGAAGCGGGAAGCTGTGCGTGCGTGCGTGCGTGCGTGTGTGTGTGTGTGTGTGTGTGTGTGTGTGTGTGTGTGTATGGGCACATGTGGTGTAGGCGTTATATGGGAACTCCCACTTTTAAAATGTCATTTCAGAGCTTAGTGGAAGCCATCCCTGTAAGGCTAAACAAAACAGGTCTGTTGGCCAAATTTAGCCCTGAGGTTCTCCTGTTTTGGACCTCTGATTTACACCTATCCTCCTAGCCCTGAGCTGAGCTGAACATACAGGCAGTTCTTCCTCCTGTCCCTCCAAAACATGTCCCTTAATGGCTGCTGATCCCATGCTTCCTGACACCGCTGCAATTTCCCAGAGTTCTTCACACACCTTCCTGTGTGGACACGATAAATAACTCTTCTAACAACACAGAGTTAACGAGGCCTTGAGCTAATTCAGCAGGGTCACCATCTGGGAGTCATCAGAAACAGGACTGTCAGCGCTGTAAACACTTGAGGCTTCATAGAAGACACTGACTCGTTCTACACTAATCAGTGCTGCCAGTCAAGATTTGCAGCAGAGATTCGAGAACGAGACATCCATTTAACAACAATAACAAAAACAGTGAGGATGAAAACCGTACAGTCATAATAACAAGGGGCCTAAAAGCAAACTGTGACTTCCCTAATAAGGCAGAGACCGAAGCTGGCTCCCTGGCGGTCAAGCGCCAATACGATTAATCAGTCTGTTTCCAGTTTTCTTGAGACAGCAATATTAACAGTTTGCTTTACTCTGTTTATACGGTGCTGACAGGTCTTCGGCATGTTGGGCCTACTTGCTAGTGATTAATGACCACTCTCATTCTGAAGTCAGACCGGGCAGGAAGAAAATGCCTTTTATGACTAGTTAGGAACCGAATTCTCGGGGATTTCTGTTGTTGTTTCCCTGTTCCCCATCAGCACCTCCCTCTGTTAATCTCTTTATGAATGTCTGAGAATATTCATTCTCCCCTAACTGGTCCAGCTTCTTTCCCTGCCCTGAGATGCTCTGTCCTCTGCTTAAAGAGGGACCCTAAAATGTACACTATGAATGAGCTCGGCATCTGGAAAGGTATTGTTGGCTTATTTTGTTATTAAAAATCTCCTTTCTGTAGAAATGAAAGAACAGGTGGGAAGCGGCTCTGGAAATGGGAATTTTAGCTTATTAAGTAGGTAATAATCTCTTTTCATATTTACAGCTATATTTACAGACGAAGAAGACAGCAGAGCTGAAATGATATACTGGTTGCTGCAGGAAGTACTGTCACAGAAAGTCTGAGAAATCACTGCATTAAACAGTCATATTTCAACAGAGGTCAAAAGATTTGAGATAATATAAGAGGACCCACCCTGTCCACATACTTTCCCATATATATAGAAAGCTGTAAGAGCACTACTTACCGATAGTACACTGATCTTTTCTATTCACTTTGTGTGCATGTGTGTTGGTGCACACGTTCGCGCTACGGGATGCATGTGCAAGGCTAAGGACAAGTTTGTAGGCGTTGGATCTTTTCTGTACCACGTGGGTTCTGGGGATTGGACTTGGGTTCTGGGACTCGGAAGCAAGTGTCTTCACCTGCCTGCCACTCTTCTCTTTGTGTTTGCTTGTTTATTTAGACAGAGTCTGGCAAGAGAGCCCTGGCCGAACTCATCATACTCTCTATGTAGCACAGAATGGCTTTAAATTTGCACACTTCCTGCCTTAGCCTCATAAATGCAGGGATGATAAGTGTGTGCCACCATATCCAGTCACCAAATATTATTTTATTTATTTTTACTGTACTTTATTTTAGTGTGACAGGATCTCTAGCAGCCTGGACTGGTCCTGAATATACTATATATAGAGCCAAGGGTAACCCTGAACTCCTGATCCTCTTACCTCTACAGACCTAAGTCCTGGGATTCAGGGATGTACTATCCCAACATCATCTTAACAGTATCCAAGGGTAGGGAACCTAAAAAAATGAAAATTCAACAAAAAAGAATGGGCTTCTTGGAAGGTTCGCTAGGAAACAATATCTCATTGCCTGCACTCAGGGTCAGTCTGCCACACACACACAGACGCCCAGTAGCTTTCTAGCCCACTTCCCTGTGTGCATCTTTCCTCATACAGCAATGAATTGCACTAGATCTGGCAGAGGGGACATCAGGAGTGGCTTTTCAGTGGAACATTGAAGTCAGAGGTAAGAACCATCTGATATGAAAGCACTATTAATAATAACAACAATAATAATAATACTGTATAGTGAGTGCCTACTATGTACCAGCACCTTGCAAATGCTTCAGTATGCAAACAGGCTCCACGCCACAACTGTGACTGTACGGAGTGGAACAACAGTCTTTGTTGGAAGTCCACGATATGGGAGAAAGTAGAACAGATTTGACTACGTTTGGGTAGACTTTGAACCCCTTTGTGAACGTCAATAATGCAGCTAACGTAAAAGTTTGACTGGGGAGGGAAAAGTGATACTAGCTAGACTATAGTTATAAAGTTTTGTAACAATTTCTGGGAGAGGAAAGACTTACCAGTTATCTCAGAAACTGAAGTAGACATTTTTTTTTAATGTAGCAAAATTGGAGTTTATCAAGAAAAGGTTTTAAAATAGATGTAAGCAGGAAGGGGAGAGGGAAAAAGACTCACTTAAGGAAACTGTACTAAATGCCGAGAGTAGCCTGGCCTTCCCAAGAGAGATGTCCAACTAAATAGTCTGACTGATTTGATCAGTTCTTTCTCTAATTTACTCATTCAAACTCTACAGATCTGGATGGATGGTCTGGTTAGACATCATGATGAGAAGAAATAGGGAAGCAAGGACAAACGAATTAGGAGACGTCTTCCTCACACTTAGTGGACGACTGGTCTTGCTCACTGTCCGGTGCTCTCAAGTGACATTTAATAGCCATCGGCCTGTCTGTCTAGCCACTCAAAACTATACACGTTGCTTTATGTAATGGCCATGAGCAAGCCCGTCCAGAAGAAAGAAGTGAATGGAAAGGAAAAGAGGACGGCTGTCTTCATTCTCATGGCTTTGGGAATAGCCTCTCACAGCCTCTGTCCTAACCCCACTTCTCTCTTGGTGGTCTGGCTATAAGGCATAGTACCCTGGGGCAAAGCACCAGATTGCTGGAGTGGAGGCTGCTAGTCATCCACAAGAGAAGGGGTCTTCTATTTAATTTGCAAATGCATGCCCTATTTGGAATACTTTAACCAAAGCTAAACATTATTCTGGAAAGGGATCTAGTAGGAGTCCCATGTGCATATGTTCGTATCATGTGCAAATATAGGTACAAGAAACATAAACTCTGTGCAAAGCCAAAAGTACTGAAGTAGCAAATAAGAATATTTTGAGGGCTAAAAAAAAAGTCTTTATTCTAATTCAGTCGCTAAATGAATTGAAGACACAGAGTTCTACTGTCTTTCAAACAAAGTCCTGAGATTTTTTTTAGATGTATTTATTTTTATTTCATGAGTATGGGTGTTTGGTCTACATGCATGTATGTACACCGTGTGTATGCAGTGCCCACCAGAAGAGGGCACAGGATCCCCAGGAACTGGGGTCACTGGCAGTTGTAAGCTGCCATGTTGGCTGCTGGGAGTCAAACCCTACGGAATACAAGCACGTGATTTTGACTGCCGAGCCATCTCTCCAGGCCCCCAAAAGAGCTCTGAGCTTTTAAAATTAAGATCTGCCTCGATTATATGAAAATAAGTCTCTATTACTTTCTGGAAAAACAACTATGTAACTGAATGAGAAGTGTTTCACTCCATGGCAGCTGACTTTTCATTATTATTTCTTAAGAGCTCATCTGGAGAGCATGTCCCTTTCACTATCTAGATTTAGTTGTTTCTGAAATGTTTCTTCAGATGCCTAAGGTCATGTCGGTTTCTGTGGATCTAACTGAATCTCTATCATTTTGATTCTTTCCAAAGGTTCTTGCAGGTAGGTTGACTTCCAAAAACATTAACTATGACTAATGTATGAGGCTTGTCATTTCTATTAAAATGAAAAAAAAAAATCAAAAGGTATTTTAGGGACTTATCCATGCCATCAACAATTACTTCAAGTATAAACTGGTTCGTATATGCCAAGGGTGAGAATTTAAATGCTCATAAAATACAATTGTAAAAGAAGGAATTTTATGAGACCAAGCACGTTTCAACTTCATTTTAAGGATGTGAGTTTGGCTTGGTCTTGTGTGTTCTATCAATGATGAGCTGACTCAGTTACAGAAAGAAGAGCAGCCTGTACCAAGTGCAAGGTGAAGGGCAGAAGTCTAGGATGTGCATTTTAATGCCAAGCTCTCCTGCCTGTAGCAGTTACAAAGTTTGTATATTTGACTTTGTATAGAAAAAAAGATTTGAATAATCACGTTTCTAAAAGTGCTTTTTAGTTGTGAAATTTTTCAAACCTGCTCATGCTTACGGATGGTAAGCAGTAAGTAAAGCCTAGAAAAGCTCTGAGACCTGCCTATATAACCTGTGAAAAGCCCCTGGGTAGGACCTTACATTAGCATCCAGGTAGGGAAGGCCTTACTGCTCTGAGCACTCATTCATGGGTTCAAAACCTTGAGTTAGGCTGAGAAGTGATGTTCATTTTTGCTTGACTCAACTGACCGAGGTGGTCAGAGGAGGAAGTGAAATGAGCCAGAGGCAGGAGGTGGAGGAGGGAGACACACGGACCTGGGAAAGGGCTGCCCTGGAAAGGTGCTCAGGGGGTACCTGACCAGTGAGCGTCCTGGGCAGGCAGTAAAAACAAACTGGGGTGGGCTGGCACTCTCGGCCTACCTGCGGCGCAGGTCCTCTGCCACTGCCGCCCGGCAGCTGAACAAGTAGGCTCGGAGCGACTTCAGCTGCTGTCGCAGCCGCACCACGGTGGCCAGCGGCTCTGCATGGAGGTACAGTATGGGGTTCTCCTGCTGGATGTCGATCAGGGGCTCTTCATACACATACTCCAGGAACTCCTTGGCCTGCTTGGACACCTGCAAAACAAGCTCTGGCCATCAGTGCTGGTGAGTCACCCAGCTTTCAGTACCCGCCCGCTCTGCCTGGGAACCATACTGTGGTGACAAAGCTATGTGTATATGTCTGTACATGGCTAAGTGAAGAGGCCCACAGAGGAACTAAACACAGCGCAGCCTCTTTTCACCTTCCAGAAGCTCAGCTAGCAAGTGTGGAAGGCATTCATTAACTCCACAGCTCAACTATGCAAGTAATGATACGAACCCACACCTGTGATGGCACAGAACCACACAGATCCATCAGACCAGTCATGTTCTGTTTTGATTGGTTTTATATATCCTACTGTAGGAACCTAAGACGTGACCACAAGAGGAAACTAGGTGAAAGGTACTCATATGCTTCCTGTCTGCATGTTCAACTTCCTGTGAAGCTGTAATTATTTCAAGCAATGTGGGAAAAGAACTCATAGTCTTTTAAAAACTACATAAATATATGTGCATGCACATATATTTCACAATACTTTAAAAAAGTATCTTTTAAAACAGAAAAACTACACATATTGTGAAATATTAATAGGAATATTAAGACAAATAAATGGGTATTCTCAAGAAAAGGAAAAAAAGGAAGGATGGAGGGAGAAAAATTATGTGGAAAGTGAATTGACTAAATAGAAGAATGGCTGTGAACGTGGGTTGATGCAGTCAACGTATCCATCCAGCTCTTTTTTTTTTTTTGAGTGTTTTTTTTTTTTTAAATGGCATTGTTCTAAGTAGAGGTAAACAGTGCATTGGCAATACAATGCACCAGAGAAAGAGAGAGAAACTTAAATAGCGGAGCACACTATCACATGGGTACCTGGACTCTCTCCATGCCAGTTTTCTGATAGTGGGTGTAAACTGCCTAGTGATACAGAGTTGACTGAGCCTCTACTTATGGAGGTAAACCTCTCCAGAAGTTCCCATTAACCCTCTCCAGAAGTAAGGCTGGGATTGATCACTAAAATAAACACCTCTGTTCATTAAAAAGAAAACTGAAAATCCACTATGCTTTACATTCCACAGCAGAAGCTTGCTAATGAAGAAAGAAAATTCAAGCCCTACCCTCAAGGGGCTATTTAGTACAAAAGATAAAGGACTCCAAACAAAAACCACATGCAGTCTGCCATCACTAGAGCCATGGGGGCTCACAGGTAGCTTAAGGGAGAGGAATCACCTTTCCTGGGGAACTAAGAGCTAGGTAGGCCTGGAGAAGCAAGCAACACTTGGAATTATAGGTGGAAACTCATTTGACAGACAGAATGGACAGGGAAGTAGGAGGGGACAGCAGGCTGACAAAATCACCAAGTCCCCCCGTGTATAATATGGAAGTGTGATTACTAGATGTGAGGCTATTATGCACTAATTAAAAGAATGCTTCTTACACACGAACATCAGGTTCAGCATCACTATCTTCTTCTTAAAGTGGAAAGCTCACTTCTAAGTTTACATTTCTTACAAGACTACAAAAGTACCCAATTTCTTAAAGTGTGTGTGTATGTGTGTGTGTGTGTGTGTGTGTGTGTGTGTGTGTGTGTGTGTGTATGTGTTCATTTACTTCTGAGATATCTGTTGTGCGGTCTGACCCTATGATATCCTGCAGAGAGTGACAAAGTTAAAGGAACTTAATAGACTGAAAATCCAGGTTACAAAACAGCCCCCAGAGTTGGCCAAGACCTTTCGTTGCTTTAGCAATCAGAAACAAGAAGGTACAGAGAGCAGGAGCCTCTGTTCTCTCATCTGTGAGGCAAAGACACGAGCAGACAGCAGACAGCATGGCGGGCCAGGCCTTCGGGGAAGAACAAAGCAGTCATGGCCGGGTCCTCAGGCACCTCCCAGCTCCAGCTCCAGCTCCATGCAGAAAGACAAAATTGAGTCGTTTCTGAATTCCATGTTGTATTCACTGTGTTTAAATATCTGCTGCACTTAAATATCTCCGATGAGGAAAAAAAGCCTCATGGTGTTCAGGGAAGTAAAGTACAATCCACTTGAAACTGTTGCTAAAAAATGATGTATTGTACAATTCAATTAGTCTTCCTGGGTGTACAGAACAGTGTTTATACTGAGTCAGGGCCCCGCTGAATTAGGTTAACAATGCTACCTTTTAGTAGGTGAACAGAAGGACAAAGGGCACTGGCCAGTCTCCCAGGCCTTAAAAGGCTTCTCTCTTCAGGTGCTACTTAAGCCCAAAAGCAAAAAGGAAAAAAAGAAAATGTTTTACAGAGACAGTAAAAGCAGGGGTCTAATAGGAAGGACAGCAGCTACTGATAGCAGCCCTGGTGAACTGAAGTGACAGAAAAGAAAGAGACAGCTGGCCTCAGGAACATCCACGGCACCACCTTCCTCCCACGGAGCCCATCACTGACATGCTTGCCTCAGTGTGTGAACACATCCAGGGCTGCTGCAGCAACCATTTTGACAACAAGGCTGAGCTCAGGGTCCAGGTCTTCAGAGCCCAGGCTCTGTAGTTTTTTAGGAAAATTTGCAATTTGGTATGAAATAAATGCTCATTTTGCAAAACTGAGTTTTATAATTAATCCCATTCTGATACCTTGAGCTCTCAAAGTTTTCCACCCTCTATTGGCAAGATGATTTAACACTCAAGCTCCACTATCATTAAAAAGCATTTTCCAAAAAGAAAACCTTTTAAATGAGTATTAGCCCAAGGAAGAAACCAAACTCGTGTTAACCTAAGGGAAGAAGCCAGTGGTATTCTTGGGTAAAAGTTTCTTTCCTGTTAGTCTAAACATGACATGAATCACATGTTAACACCAGGCGTGTTCCAATAAATAGCTGAGCTATTGTCCTTCAGGCAAAGCAAATGATAAAAACCAAAAATGCCAAAGTGCTACTTTTTATTTTTATTTATTATTATCTTGTAAATGTGTGTATGTGGACTATTGGTGGGCTGGGGCAACATTTTGATGTCATGTTTTGCCTGTGAAGGTCAGAGGACAACTTTGAGGACTGGATTCTCTCCTCTCAAGGCTGGTTCTGGGGACTATACTGTGTGCTAGCCTAGCCTGGCCTAGGGGATGGGAGAGAGGCACCACTCTGCTGGCTTCTGCTGGCTTCACCACTCTTGTAGTGAGAAAACAGAATGCTCTCTGCCACAGGAACTCAAGGTCATAACTGTGCTTGTGTTTCAATGTGTGAGCTGACTCTGTCTTCACAGCCCTGCAGTCTGAATGACTTATGAGGGAAGAAGGCCAGGCAGAAACATGGCCCCTCCTCCTCACAACAAGAAGAGTTAGAGAAGACGGCACAATCAACCTGAAATTAGCTACAGACTAACGATGACCCAATCTGTGACTACACACATGCGTTTACCAATGAGCACATGTGATTTGAACACTAAGTGTCACCACTGCAGATCTGAACACAGCATGTGTTCTGTCACAACGGTAACAACCACCTCTCAATTGAAGAATTATGGGATGTTGCTCAGGTTTGCATAGTCCTGGGAGAGGTTTCTGGAACAGTGTTCTGGCACTGTCACACACAGAACAGCCCTGGGTAAAGAAGTAGTGGGCAAAGGGAATACATGGTCAACCACAGTGCAATTTGTAAATGATGCAGTGGAAGCAAGGGCCCCGTTTTTATTAAAGGAGGAAAAGGCTGAAGAAAACACAGAAGGCCATGATCTTAGCAGGACAAGGAAAGGTAAAGATAATCTAGTCACTTTTTATCAATCTGTGTTCCCAGGATTACTAGTCCCACAAAAAATGATGTTTTCAGGCATTAGGAAAATAAATAGGCTGCATAGCACATAGCACTTTCTCTTCTTGGTGATTCAAAGTGAAACATGTTCTATTCAAACTGAGACACTAGTAAAGAAAACCTGCTCGAGTTGGGTTAGGATGGAGCTCAGTAGTCACGACAAGGAGGAGGAGGAAGAATTAGGAGGAAGTAGAGCAGTAGGAGGAGAAGGAAGAAGAAGGGGAGGAAGAAGAGGAGTAAGGGGAAGAGGACCACTGTGGAATATCCCTTTACACTGGGTGAATATATGTCTCTGTGATTGGTTTAATAAAGAAGCTGACTGGCCAATAGCTGGACAGGATAAGGTTAGGAGGAGGGGCAAACAGAATGCTGGGAAGAAGGGTGGAGTCAGAGAAGTAATGAGCAGACACAAGATGGACATGCAGTACTGAGAAAAGGTATCAAATCACATGGCAAGGAATAGAAAAAAATATGGGTTTATTGAAAATTTAAGAATTAACTAGTAACAAGCCTGAGCGATTGGCTAAGCATTTATAATTAATATTAAGCCTCAGTGTGGTTACTTGGGAGCAGCTTGTGGGACAGAAACTTCCACCTACAAATGGCACTCAAATGTTTGGCACCTACATCTACATAAAACTGGAGAGAGCTTGTGAAGGGGTTCTAGATCACCTGCTTAACTTATCTACTTCTCAAATTCATTTGAGCATAAACAGGACAGTTTTGTTTGGTCCCAGCCCTGTAGAGGCCAGAAGAATGAGAGAAAGGCTGATCTATGCCCCATTCCTCAACTGGAAGCAGAACATCCTTCTCTAACTCACTGTCCCCTCTTACCAAGCTGTAAACTCATTGGCTCTTTCCAATCCTCACCAAGATGGCCTTCCTACAGAGCCCTACTAACAAGTACTGAACTTGTAAGTGTTGTACAGAATCTACTTTGAAAAACAGTGAATAAATCCATTTTCTGTATTTAATCAAGTCCAGAAACCCCAAATGACTCATTTATGGTCATGTCATGGCACAGTGGAGCTAGGACTCAGAACCCTGGACACCTTGCTCTGTGTTCAGTAGTCTGCAATCACAGTTCCTCCAGTTTTTAAGTACTCTGCCATAACTTATTTGCTCACTGCTCTTTAAAAGTGGCGTTCCCTATCCCTCCTCTACCCTTCTTTCCTGTCAGAAGACAGGTATGCTGAAAACAGAGACAGACTATAATGCAATTAGGTGGCATTGGCATGTAGGCTTACATTTGAGCTTAACTCTGAAACAATGATGAACATGAAGAGTATTTCATTTTCAAAGCCATTTTTGTATTTATGTATTTGTTTAATGTCTTGCCCTCTCCACTGAAATAAAAGCATTGAGGAGGGCAGGAATCACAGCCCCTTTGGGCTACACACTCTTACTTCAGACACAGTTTTAACAGTTTGGTTTTATTTCTAAGTTTATAACACATTTAGAGTCAATAATGAATAAAGGGGGAAAGGCAGCTAGAGGCAACGGAGCTTGTCTTGAATGCCTCTCCAGATGGAGAGATAGGCTTGTGTAACATGGAAAACCCCTAGCTAAATGGAATGTGAATATTCAGGCTAGGACACACAAAACATTTTTTAAAAGCACAGCTATGGGGAAATGGTAAGAAAGGTGAGTGTTTTGGTTATGTCTGATCGGTGTGAATAGGGGGCAGGGAGGTACCTTCATTAGAAATGGCTACAGAATTTAAGGATAGGGTTTAACTCCTTCTCAATCATGGAGCCTAGTTGAGTCTGTAGCACAGACACCAGAAATGGATGCAATCTTGCTTTTGGAAGTAATTAGGATTATTAATACTCCAGAGGACAGCCAGGAAATGATTAAGATGGCAATTTCATTCTGTTCTGCAAACCCATTTCTCAATGGGTAGTCAAGCAGTCACGTATTTGCTATTAAGGGCAGTAGGCAGATCTAACAGAATGATGTCTGGATTTAGAAACTGATAGGTCTAAATTGATCCTCACAATTAGGAGCATTAAGTTAATTCCTGGTATCTGAGCAAAGACAGACAGATGCTGGACTAAATGGAATATAGTTCTTCAATGCCAGTGACAGATGATCCAGATAAAATCAGCTGGCTGTGTTCCTGCAGTATAATTGTCCCTGGTCCACTGAGAACGTGGGAAGCAGAGGTCTGACTCCTCATGTGCAGCGTGAATGAAGTGAGTGTACCTAATAACTTCAACGAGCTATCTATTCCCTCAACTCAGGTCTAGCTACTTGAAGGACCACCACGGCCCACGTTACAGAAAGATCCTAGACTTCGGGACCAGCTAGAGTGGTGGTTTCTGCAGTCTTCACAGCTCACGGTCCACAGCCATGCCTGCCTTGGCCATTTGCTGGCATTGCCTCCTTTCTGCTTTTGCTTCACGGACTGCTGTGCATTCTGTTGTCAGGTGTCACCAGCCCCAGCTCTCAGCAGACCACAGGGCTGCGACTACTGCACTCGCGTGGCGTGAGATGACAAAGCTCTGCTCCTAGTACATTAATCTAAAGTGAATTAAACCAGCCTGCCTCCCTAAATCTGTTTTTCTCTCATACACACACAAATAATATATTTATAGTCTCTATTGGGAGTGTCAAGTACAAGATGCACAAGGAGGCCGTGGTAGCCGTCTAGGAAAGGAAGGAATTAGGGGACGAAATAAGGTTCAAGTCAGATTTTAAGATTCGCTGGGCCTAGGTGAGAGCAGGAGAAAGCCAAGAGGTGTGAAACAGACTGCCAGGATATGGATTAGAAGGGGCAGATGTGATTTTAATGAAGAGGCTAGTGCGGATGGATATGGACGAGGGAGCCGGGGAGGTGGACAGGGATTAGAGGTCACAAAGGGAACTGTATCTATTCTGCAGACAATTATGGAAGTCTGGCCCTAACTGAGCACCTACAATGCACCGAACACTGTGCTAGGTGCTTGTGTGACTAGGACATAGTGCTTGTGTTTAAGAAAACAGGATCCTTATGTCATAGGTACTACTACTATCTCTGTTGTAAGATGAAAAAAACCAAGTTAAGGACTGAGTAAGAAATTCATCTGAGCTTCGAAGACAAGAAGCACTATTAGAAGGCTATAACTCATGCTGTGGGACTATGGCCAAGGCCATGAGTGTAGTGCGGCTGAGAGCATGACCTCATGTTACAATTAAGTCTTGGTTCTTGTGCGGCCAGGACACAGGTGGTAGAGGGAATGATCCAGGACGTCGCCTCCGTCTGGCAGTGGAGACCGAGGGACCATTCATATGACTATGAATATTTACATCTGTAACTGCAGGCAGCATGCACTTGGGGAGCGTGTTGAGTCTAAGTGCCCATGGGACAGGCTTCCCTCCCAGCCACTCAGCAGCCACTCCTGCTTACCAACTGTGTGTCATGGGCTGTGCTAAGCCACATCTCCCGAGCTCGCCTTTACAGAGAAAGCACACAACCAGCAATTATTTAGATAAATGTAGTGCTGATGAGAATAATAACTTCCATTCAATAAGTACTTGTCACACCATTTCTGGTGCTTTTCTTTTTAAACTTAAAAAAATTTAATTATGCCAAGCGGTGGTGGCACACACCTTTAATCCTAGCACTTGGGAAGCAGAGGCAGGTGGATCTCAGTGAGTTCGAGGCCAGCCTGGTCTACAAATCAAGTTCCAGGACAGCCAGGGATGTTACACAGAGAAACCCTGTCTCAAAAACAAAAACAATTTAATTATGTGTTTCTGTGTGTATGTAAGAATGTGCACATGTGCGTGTAAGTGCCCAAGGACCCCAGAAAAGAGTGTCATATCCCCTGAAGCCAGAGTTGCAGGCAGTTGTAAGTTGTCTGACTTGGGTGCTGGGAACTGAACTCCGGTCTCTGCAAGAATAGTATATGCTCTTAACCACTGAGTCTATCTAGCCCTCAAATCAGAGGATAGAATCCCTGAGAGCGCTCAAACCACCAACCTTTTTGTGTTTTTCTTTTAATAACCTACTCCATACAACTCTCAACTATAAATGTGTGAGTTACCAAAAGCATAATGCTCATTTGGCATGTACCGTGTGCTGGGCACCCACCATTCTACTTGCTTTACATATTTTAGCCATTCAACCAGTGGTAACTCCTTTGAGGCACTATTATCCTCATCTTATAAACAAGAAAACTAAGACATCAAGAGTCTAAGTAACTCACCCAGGTCACATGTCAGCAAGCAACAAAGCCAAAACTTGAACCCAGGCAGGCTGGGCTCATTTGATACATTAGAAAACTGAGACCCGGGGAAGCTCAAGGAATTTGCCTCCCTCTAACCAAACACACAAGAAGGGGCTGAGGGAGGCTTTGGACAGATGTCCAATTAACACCAACCCCCCAGAGTTGGTAAAAGCACGATGGGGAAAGGAGGAGCTAAGGTTGACAACTTCTGTAAGAGGAGTGTGGTTCCTATGGAAGAACAGGGAAGACTATGTGGCAGGTGAGTGGATGGAATTATTTCCTGATCATCCACTTTTCCCGAGTAGCAGGAGGGAGTTTCCAGAGGAACCCAGATGGAAACTTAACCCTGTAAGATCACAGATATTGAAACCAAAAAATCTGATCTCAATCTCTGGTGCAAATGAAAAGGGCTCCCATGAGCTTCCAATACCTCTCAGGCTCCTTTTCTCTCCTTCCACAGTTCAACCACTGGCCACCTCCCCTGCTGCCTACAGGAGGCCATCCTCACTCTCTCAGCTCCATTATTCCAGCCATTCTCCCTCCTCCTGGGGAGTCCACATCGGCATAAAAACCATGCTGTTACCCTTTCCTGTTAAAACACAAGTCAAGCCTAACTTGACCCCACTTCCCTTTGAGTTACTCCCCACCTGTCTCTTCCCTTTGAGTAAAACTTCTCCTATGCTTGTCCTTCCTTTCTTCCTTCCTAGTCTGGGTTGAGCCCTCTCCAGTCAGACCTCTGCTCCTGCCTCTCCATTCAGACTGCTCTCATTAGGGTCACTAATTACCTCCACATGACTAGAGCCAATGGTCAGTTCTCGGGGCTCGTCTTATTTGACCTATCAGCATCTGTCACAGTTGATCTGGCGCACTTTCTCCACATGGCTTGTCAGGCAGCCTGGGCTCCTTCTACCTCACTGCTCACGCACTCCTGGTCCCCCGACACTCTTGGCTGCCCCTCTTCTCTCACTCTTACGTCGGGATGACCCAACACGTCTCGAGCCTTCCTCTGCCCCTGCTGGCTTGCGCTTTACCAGCTAACAAATGTGCTCTTCGCACTCCTTGGGTGTCTTCCTTGTCTGCTACTTCTTACTGAGCAAAGCTCTCAGCACATTCCAGCATCTCTCATTAGCCCCCATCCCTTAATAAACAGGAGTTCTCACAAAGGTCTGAGGATGACTAAGTGCACTGTTCTTCTGTGGGCTGCTACCCGGAAGTCCTCATGGCTTCTCCTAGGATTCCAGTTCCAGGCACTGAACGTGCTTGAAGACTGGCCTTCACCTGAATCAGTGCTATTTCATCCCAAGAAACACTTTGGGTCACATATGCCTTCTTCAGAGATCACAGACATCCTCATATATAGTCTTGATTTCCTCATTTTCTATTAAAAATCCTGAGAGGCCTCCTACTGTATAGAATTCTCTTAGTACCTATAATTACCAAGGCCTATAGGTAAAAACTTTAGATAGACAGACAGATCAAAAGATATACATATATTTTAAAATTGGGAAATTAGTAAGAATCACAAACAAAAAGCTTTTAAACAGTGAGATGTGTAAGAAGTATTAGATTAAACCTGGAAGCACAATTGGGCATGATGGCATGTGTCTATCAGCCCTTGGAAGCTGGAGACAGGGGTGGGGTGGGTGGGTGGGGGGTGGGGGGTTGTTAGTTTGGGGCCAGGATGAACTACAAAGTGAGACCCTGGGTTTTTTGTTTGTTTTTCAAGTCTGTCTCAACAGGTTTATAGTTATCTCTATAATCCACCGACATATACGAACACCTAAATTGCCACCATCATGTGTTCCCAAGGTTGGTACCTACCTTATATTTTGAAGTGTCCCAGTTGTGAACAACTCTTGCTGGGATGAGAAAGCTGTCGTCCACGTGGCAGCTGCTGCAGTAGTACCACCCACTGTAATTGCACACCTTGGCCTTGCCGTTAGAAAGACCAATAGATCGTTGGCATCCTGTTCAAGGCAAAAGATAGACCATGATTGCTGCTGGACTTTGAACACCCCAGAACAAGTCTACACGGCCCTTAAGTTAAATGAAGTCTGTAGCAGAAGAGAAGCTGCAGAGAACACATGGGCCTATGTGTCCCCTCCTTCCCAGGCTAAGAGTCTAGACCCACTCCCACCCCCGACCCCCGCTCCCTCATCCTAACTAGACCCTTGTCTCTGGTCTCCTCTGATTCTATTTCTTCTGCACATAGCTACCAGAGATCAGTTTCTCCACAACTCTGCCTTTATTGCCCCACTTTCCTTCTCAGAAACTAATTTACACTACATACTTGGCTAGGAGCTTCTACTACAGGTTTGTTTGGCTTCCACAACATCTCTGAGAAAAGAGACCCTATTTTACTACGAAAAAATGAAACCAGGCATGGTGGTCTATGCCTGTAGTCGCAGAACTTGAGGTAAGAATCTTGGGTTCAAGGCCAATCTAGGCTACATGGCAAGTCCCAGAGTTGTAAGCAGTCTGGGCAACGTAGTGAATGCCTGTCTCAGAGCAACAAAACCAAGAGCTATCAACCTAGCTCAGTTCCTGGAGTACTTGCCCAGCAAAAGCAGCTCTGCATTCAACCCCAGCACTGCAAAAAACTGATATGGTGGCACTTGCCTCTGGAGGCATTTCAAAGACAAAGGGAAGAGGATCAGAAATTAAAGGCCATTGTGGCTATATATCAAGTTTGAGGCTAGCCTGGGTGACATAATACCTTGGCCACAAAAAAGAAAATCAAAACTAAACCAAAACAAAAGGAAGAAAAGGCAGAAAGGCAGAGATGGAGAGAGGAAGAAAGGAAGGATTTTGCAATGTTAAATGTGCTATGTGGATGACTCTGCAAATAAAAGGTAGAGATTGCATTTGTCTGTAAGTCTGTCTGGTGATGAAATGATCCCCAACGAGGACATACAGCATTTCCTTGCTTGAAAAAAAAAATCAGTGTAAAGAATCTGGCATTTGACTGGCCCCCACCTCACCTCGGCAGCTCTCCTCCTGTGCCTCTCCTTTGGATATATACCCTATTCATCCCAGCCCAAGAACTGTCCACATCATCCCCAGGTAAACAGAGTGCACTCACTGTGCCCTCAACACAGCAAACATGTCAGTTCCTACACAATGCCGTAAGTGCTTGGGACCTCAGCAAATCTTGCATGCTATTAAGACCACTAGCTGCTGGTAGGTGACTGTTCATGCCCTTTTCCTATCCCAGGAGTTTTTTGATTCTGTGAGCACTGTCCAGGGACTGCCGGGGTACCTGGCAATCATCATGGCCCTGCCCCAAAGAGACCATGTTTCCTCGTTAGGTCGTTAGGGGGAACGACCTTCTACTGATACATACGGAAATCCTGTCAGAAAGATCCTATCCCTGGGAGCCCCAGCATGGTCGATGAACACTGTGCAAATAGCATCACTATTCTGAAATATCTTATTTACAGCTTTCACTGTAGAACTCCTTCCTTCCACGTGGCATTCTTCATGGTCGGGTGCCAGAAATACACAGACTAAAGAGATCTGACAGGAGCTCGTGATGTAAGGACAAAATTGGTTTACTCTTCCAGCGATGATGATGATGATGATGAATAATGTGGCAATCAGTGTTATGATCCATTCCATTAGAAGGAGCTCAAAAAACATTTATTGAATATAAACTGCCTACCTTAACTATGAAAATACTACAAAACCTAACCAAGTTTCCATCACAAATAAAATAGCATTAATAATCATGCCATTTCATGGTACATCCTCTGCAGAGAGAATTAGATCCTCTTGTTTTTAAAAACAAAGGGGACTGAAAGATATCAAAGGCATATGCTAGTGGTATAATTCTAGTAACTAGATCTTCCCAGGGTTCCTAAAATTATTGTTCTTTCTGAACTACAGAGTAGCAACAAAATCACTCTGAGCCTGTTTCTGAGGCTGGTTGAGGAAAGAGAACCAATGTGCAGAAGATAAGGACCACATGAGCTTCTGTTTGACGGATGAGATGCTGTCACAGCCCTGGGTGGGAAATGCTGGGATGCTGTTTGCTGCACTCACAGACTGTGTGACTCATTTGGCATTTAGCACGCGCCTCCTTGAACTGTGGTGCCTTTTTATGATCCTCTCCAGCCAGGCAGACAGTAAACTTCTCTGATATATCTTTTACCCTCAGCACTTAACACAGGGTTTAACATGTAGTAGACAACTAATAAATGTTTGTGTTGAGACACGACAAACTAGGTACCCTCTGACACATGCACACACACACACACACACACACATATACATACAGATAAAAGACTGTCACTTCCCGTAGTTATTCCAAAAGTAATTCTTTGAACCTGGTCGCATGCTTCTTCAAACAGCATGCTTTCATTACTATTCCTGTTAAAATATGCAGCCCATCCTAAAGCCTGCACATTAAACGTGTTTACCTGTGAGCAGAGGACAGACCCAAGTGGGACCTGACACATCCAAGCCCTGAGGATATCTCTGTTTCTGATAATTAGTAGATAGTCAAACTGAATTAACACTGAAATGACAGAACAGTGGCAGAGCATGGTCCATGGAGTCATGGGAGAATTTTGAATGCTGTGAGAAACTCCAAGAAACCAAGACACAAGTCTTGTGACTTCAGTTTCTTCAAAACACAGAATTGTTCTTGGAATGTGCTTTCATGCTCCTCCTAGGTGTAGTGGATAGGAGTGAGTTTACTTCAGACTATTCATTACAATAGTGTTATTTGTTTATATGCCTCTATGGAAAAACCATGTATTTGCCATGTGCTGCTTGTCTACCATGTGTGGCTTGCACTTGTGATTGTATACTTTACTCATGTGACTCTGCTTAACCCTCGGAGTATAAATAGTCTGATGCTCTGAATGAAGTTGGCTATTGCGCGAGGCTCCATTCTCCCAGGTCCCACCGCCTCTAGAGTGGTGGACAGAACAGAATCCAGTCCTTCCTAATAGATTAGCAGGTGACTGTGATCTTGCAGAACTTCAGTCAGGAACATCATTAAGTTCAAATTCCCACCAAAAACTGTGAAAAAAATGAACTAGCTCAATTTGGCTTTTCGATGGTTTGAATTTGGTATATAATAAATACCAGTAGGCATCTCCTGGATACTAATAGGTACTAACGGGCTTCTCCATCTGTAATTTTAATGACTTTACTATATTTGTTCTATAACATATATAAGGCAACATTTAAAATACAAATATGCATAGAAAGCATGTAACCTAAAAATGTTTATTATTTCACTGGGTGGTGGTGGTGCAAGCCTTTAACTCCAGCACTTGGGAGGCAGAGGCCAGTGGATCTCTCTGAGTTCGAGGACAGGCTGGTTTACAGAGTTCCAGAGCAGCCAGGACTACACAGAGAAAGCCTGTTTCAAGAAAAAAAAAAGGTTTATTATTTCAATGGGCACAGAGATCTTAAGTGGGTATTCCACTACATGTGCTACTGAGACAAACTCAGCATGTTCAGAACTTTGCACAGGTTTCTGGGCCTATAAAAAGCGAGGCGGAGGGATGGGAGAACACAGCTCAGGCTCTTCAGGGTTTTAGTGAAGACATGGGCAGCACTGTGTAGACTGCTACCTCTGGTCCTTGAGTGTCTTCACTGCTTTACGTGGAACCATGTTGTCCACTCAGTTCTTAAGTCACTTTGAACCTGTCAGCATGCCTAGGACTACTCTAACATGTGAAGTACAGCAAAGTGCTACTCCAAAGCCAAGCAGCCTGGGTCACTCTTGTCCGGTGCACACTGTGAACCTGACCCAAACAACTCACTAGGCCTGCTTCCTCATATTAAAATAAACTGGATAGCTGAGACTGGTGGATGGTCAAATTCAGTGAGTATCCAAACTTTCTAGCAATGTCTGTGGCAAATGCAGAGCCCTCCCCAAGACGATTCGGATTCTGCAGAATTGGGGTAGCAACCAGAAACCCGTATTTCTCATGTTCATCTTCCCTTATTCCTCACTAGGGACTCTGATGGGTAAAGGCTGGGGCTGGCTCCTGGTTTCTCTGTGACCTACTTCCAAAATCCCTTCAAGCTCTAAATGACAGTGCAGAAGACATATTACTCAGTGAAAATCATAATTTGTTGAATGCCTTCCAAAACTAAGTTTCAGTTCTTAGTCTATTTCTAGACATCAGTTATGGAAAAGTACCCTGGGCTCGGTCTAGAAGTGTTTACTCCCCATACTACAGATGGAACTGGGGATTTGCACACGCTCTGTAAGAGCTCTACCACCAGCTACACCCAGAGCATCCTCATTGCTACTAGGAAGCCTCCTATTCAACTGAGAAAGAATTAAAGCTTTTTAGCCCCTACCCAACGCACTTGCCTTTGAAAGAGCACAGTGTGGTTGGGAGGAAGACAAGAGGCTACTGACCTGATATAGACTCATTGTCTTCCAAACAGCACATATCCTCTGCCTCCAGAAGGAAGCCCTGCTCTGTTGATTGACAGCGAGATTTCCTTTACTGTCATACTGCAGGTCATGGACTGAAAGTGTCTGAAGCAATTTCCCGAGAAGAGGCACAATCTGGGATTTTAATTTATCATTGTGAGGTTTTCAACGGGGGAAAGAAAGTGTGCTTTCTTAAAAATGACTGTTAAGAAACTTTTCTTCAAGAGTGCCAAAAGTGGACTCTGAAAAGCAACATTATGGGAAAAAACAGAGTTGCAAAGCAGACAGACAATAATTAATTGAAATAACTAATTAGGGCTTATTTACATTTATTTTATGTACTTTCAAACAGATTTTCAACAACTTTTCTAAATTCAAGGGCGTCTGTGGAAGGGGACACTCTACATGTTGGATCAAAGCAAATGCATTCTCCTCGGTTCTTTTTGAAACTCTTCTGAGTGGTCAATTCATAAGAACAAAAAACTATCCCACAAGAGAACTCACTGGCCTTTTTTTTTTTTATTGCTTCTCACCCCACTTCACATCTTTAATGAACACATGCTC